GTTGTGGCATATGAGTATGTGGAATGAAAAATAGGATCATTTACAGTTTCTTTCATGTTGCTGGATCCCCATAGGACATATTTGTTTTGGCAGCTGGCATACCCTGTAGTATCATGTTGGAATTTGGCATGCGTTATTTAATAAAATCTATAACTTTCATGTTGTACGTTTTGGTATATTTCTTAGTAACTGTAGATGTTGAGTTTAACTTCCAGGGCAGAAAACTTGGAAAGGAATATATAATATATAATAACTAACTGATATAGTGTTCRTAAGTACAGTTATTGGTTTGGCATATGTTCACTAATACACCTTTTGTTTTTTTTTACCTGACATTGTTTAATTTAGGATTTTAGATTTGAGCTGCATTAAAATAATTGATAATTGGCATTTATTTTTTTTTTTTACAGAGAGGAAAAAGGAAAATGGATGACTGGAAAGAAGTACTATATATGTCATATTTTTAAAAGTTATATTTCCTTTATCTTTTCTAGGTCGCTGTGGTAAAACTAAAAAATGCAGATAAGGTATTTGCCATGAAAATTTTGAATAAATGGGAAATGCTGAAAAGAGCTGAGGTAAGAATCTTAATATAGGGTGTTTTCTCATTTTTAYTGTTTTGAATCATGTTGTAGTAAAAATCTTTACACATGTATATTGCAGTAATTTTGTGAGCTTATCCATAGTGTGAATTCTTAATAAGATAACAGTAAAGCTATTAATACATTTTTTCACTAACTCTGCTTGTGTATGTTAAAGAGAAATGTTACAACAGAAGAAAATAGTACATGAGAAGTAGTCATGCTACCCAAGATATATATGCAATGTAAATTTTAAGAAAAAGAAAAGGGAGGGAGAGTATGAAGTCTTCTTAATAAGAAATATTGCTACTCCATATTTGCATATACCAAGATTGAAATGATTTTAGGATAAATTTTACATAAAGGGATTTTTCATTTTGTGTGACTTCTAGAACTTATCTACTTCTCAAATTAAACTCCTTGCCACTACAACTCTTGGGCATGGGGTTAGGGGATACATTTAAACCTTTTTTTTTAAGTTGTGGATGGACTTTATTTTATTTATTTATATATGTGCTGAGAATCGAACCCAACGACTCACACATGCTAGTCAAGCACTGTACCACAGAGTTACAACCCCAGCCCTCATTTAAACTTTAATAGCTATTGCTTTAAACAAATTGTCTTCTATAAATGTTGGACCAGAATATCTTTATTTATTTAAATGTGCCGGTTTCTTAACAAGCTTGCTAATTGTTCATGCTATCATATTCTCTCTTTATTATGTTAAACAACATTTTTACTGACAATTAAGTTAAAATGAAAAAATATCCTATTTGGCTTGATCATCAAACATATGGTAAAATGGCGGGGGGCAGATATGTGATGATGCCATGCTGTATAAGATCTAATATTTGGATTTTCTGAGATTTTTAATTTAAAATTCTACTTACTTATTTTTTTGAAAATGAAAATTTTGACTTTTCCTTCATCAAATATTAGAGAAATTTTCAGTTATTATCCAGGATTTTTCTGTGGTAATATTTTTTGAGTGAAGAAGTCTTTATTCCTAAAAAAATGAGAAACTAGTGGGTATAGACATCTCTTTGACATGATTTTCAAATATACATGCAATTTTGATGTGCTGTATAAGATTGATAATTTGATGAGACCCAAATATCCAAGATTGATAATTTGATGAGACCCAAATATCCTGTTTTTACAGGAGCGGAATTTAACAATATTTTGTTTAGTTTTTAAAAAAATATAATTGAAGTATACATTATTATAGCTTTAAACTATTTGAATCCTCACAACACATTTATGAACCATAGATTATTCATACATCATGGTTTGGTTAATACTGATCTAGAACAGGGTTTCTCAACAGGGGTACTTTTTTGACATTTGGGGCTGGATAAGTCTTTGTTGTAGAAGCTCGCTTGTACATTTTAGGTCATTTAACAGCATCCTTGGCCTCTATCCACTAGATGCAAGTAGAATCCTCTCACCCAATTGTCATAACTAACTAGGAGAATGTGATATAGAAGCAAAAGAAGTAGGCTGTCTTTTTTACATTTAGACACTCAGCACCTGAAGCGTTTGAAGCCTTAGTAAGAATAGTTTTATAGCTAAATATTTGTGGATAAAATCATATGTCTTGGATTTTCTTTAAAAAGTTCATTGTTTCTGAACGTGTGTACTCAGGGAACTGAGGGGTGGTGGTGAGTGAGTGAGTGTGTAATGAAACAAGATTCACCAACAAAGTAATTGCTGAAATCGAACCATGGTACATTGGGAAGAAGGGATTGTTGCATTCGTCTTTCTACTCTTGTTATGTTTGAAATTTAGTGTCATAGTTTATTGTATGTTTTTTTTTAAATTTTTAAATATTGCTTTTTACTGAACAGTTTAGCATATTTGAAGTTTTATTTAGTTTGAAATCAATCAAATGAAATAATGGTTATTAGAATCTAGCTGGAATACCTAAAAAATTTAAAAAATTAGTTTTTTCTTTGTAGATGGATATAATATCTTTATTTTATCTATGTATTTTTCTTTTTATGTGGTGCTGAGGATCGAACCCAGTGCCTCAGGTTTGCAAGGCAAGCGCCCTACTACTGAGCCACAGCCCTAGCACCCTAAATTTTTTTTTTTTTTAGAATTTTAATATTTATTTTTTAGTTATCGGCGGACACAACATCTTTGTTTGTATGTGGTGCTGAGGATCGAACCCCGGCCGCACGCATGCCAGGCGAGCGCGCTACCGCTTGAGCCATATCCCCAGCCCAAAATTGCCCCCTAAAATATTTTGATGTCTGTCATTGTGAGTTCATACCAGGAGAAGTCCTTCTCTTAGGCCCTAACAACTTTCAGAACCTTTCTACCATGCCAGTAGTAAGCCATAACTTCAGATCAGTTCAGTTATAAAATAGGACTTACTGGTAAATAGGTCATGCAATTCTGTTTTCTTCCTAACGTGAATTAATACATACTGTTAATAGATTTTAATAACATAATTAACAGGTTAAATTGCCCATTTCAGTTGGTTTAAACTTTATTTGTTTGGGTGCTCTCTGTTGTTGCCATTTAATGCCTGGCTTTGGAAATGCTATTTGTCCAAATAAAATTTATGGGTATACATTGGCAATATTTGGGCTAATTGGATCACAGTGTTATAGATTGTTTTCTGTATCATGACTATTTATCTTGTGAGAAATAATAACTTGTCACCTACTACAAGTAGACACGCTCTGTGATGATATTTGCAGTGTGTATGCAATATGGTACAGCCATTCAGAAAACTTAGGCTGGGTTATATGTACTAAGATCAAAAGATGTTCAAATATATTATTATTTAGGAAAAATAAGCAACTTAGCAATGTGATTTCATTTCTATAAAGAAAAATAAGATGGGAGAGGTGGGATACTACATGAATATAAAATGTGTCTGTATGCATGTGTGCATGCATGTGCATGTGTGTAGGCTTCTGTATATGCAGGAATTTTCTGAGTATGCTTAATGGTAGTGACTTGTGAACACAATTGGAAATTGAAATTGTGGGGGCATTACTTAGGAGACTTTTACTTTCTATTTTACCTCTCATTTCTTTTTTAAGTTTCTGTTATAGTATTTTTTGTTTTCTTTTTAATTAAAAAATTAAAGATTTTGTATAATAGAATTATAATGTATTACATAAATTGTTTTTTATTTTTAATCATATGTTTCTCAGATTCTCTAGGATATATTTTGATAGTAGTGGAAATTTATTCTCAGAATAAATTAAAACTTCAACAAATAAATATGAAAAAACCCAATTCATTAGAGAAAATGTGCAAAAAGGACATTCAAAGTAAACATTCAAAGAGAAAGTTAAGGTAGCAAGTAAGTGTGTATATATGTGTATATGTATATATATAAAGTTATTCATCAGCACCTGTAATTAGGAATATGTTAGTTAAAAGAACAATGAGACATAATTTGACAGCCATCATAGGCAACCACTTAATTTTAATACTGGCAAGTACATTTGAGGATATGAGGAAAAGGGACTTTTGTATGCTGGGGTACAGTGGTAATTAATATAGAAAATTGCTATTTTTGGCAAAGTTGAAATTTGCTATATCTAATGTTTTTACTTCTAAGTGTATACTGTAGAGAAACTTATACAAATATACTCATTACAGCCTTGTTATAATGCAAATTTGGAAATGATATATATTTCCATAATTGGGGGTTGCCTAAATAAATTTCATAGCAGATAAAAAGGGAAACAGTAATTCTGGAGAAAGAAGTAATCAACTTACAAAAGGATAGATAAAATTATAACATAATTTTTAAAAATAATCCAGTTTTGTTGTTTATGGACATATATATATGTGTGGTCAAAACATGATTGGTAGTCTGTACATTGTCTTCATTTTATTGCTTACGTGAGGGAAGAAAGGAGAGGAATGGGAAGAAGTAGGAAGACTATAACTTTGTTTTATTTCTTTGAAAAGACCAGAAGTAAATGTGGCAAAATAAATGCATTTATGTTATCTAAATAGTATTGTGACCTGTGGTTCTTAATTATTCCGTTCATTTTATGATTGTTTTAAACTATGACAATATTTTTGATATAAAATATTTTCTTAAGTATTCTAGTAGCTCAGTTGCTGTTTTGAAACAGTGATTTGTTGAAAGCCATATATTGAAAATATTCCTTTCCAGAATAGAAATAGTATAATAAGCATATTAAGCTGTTGTTTGCATAATTTGTATCCTAGGTTTACCTAAAGTGTTGTCTAAAATTTTTTTCTTTCCTTTCCAGACAGCATGTTTTCGTGAAGAACGGGATGTGTTAGTGAATGGAGACAATAAATGGATTACAACTTTGCACTATGCTTTCCAGGATGACAATAACTTAGTAAGAATTTTTTTATGTGTTTTTGATCCTTATTAATTTTTTGTTGACAGAATTTAGCATTAATTTCTGTTGAGCATTATTTAAATGTAGATTTTAAATAGAAAAATTACGGCTTTGAAGGTATAAGTTGAACACTTGGTATGAAAATTTTTTCTCTCAGTGATATGATACCTGTCCATTGAAATTATTTATACTTTTAAGTAAGGAAGTCAGAACTTTATACAAATTTTTTAAATTTCTGTCAGTTAAATTCTATAAAAGTGTTCAGGATTTTTCTTTCATGATTTTCCCACTATTTTATTTATAGTGTTCTGTTGCTTTTTAAATTCTACATATTTTTCTTATTTCTTTTTTTTTTTTTTTAAAGAGAGAGGAGAGAGAGAGGAGAGAGAGAGAGAATTTTTAATATTTATTTATTTTTTAGTTCTCGGCGGACACAACATCTTTGTTGGTATGTGGTGCTGAGGATCGAACCCGGGCCGCACGCATGCCAGGCGAGCGCGCTACCGCTTGAGCCACATCCCCAGCCCCTTATTTCTTTTTTTTTTTTTTTAAATTTTTTTAGTTGCCAGTGGATTTTTCACTGTACACTGTATTTGTTTATTGATATGTGGTGCTGAGGATCAAACCCAGGCCTCATACATGCTAGGCAAGTGCTCTATCCCTGAGCCACAACCCCGGTCCCTAAAATTTTACATATTTTTCAAGTGGCCATGTGCTCCACTAAGTAGAGCTACATTTTTATTGACTTGAAGTGCTTTACAAAAGTTGGGAGTTTGGAGGACAATCAAACTATTAGAGGCTTTACAATTGAGAATAAATAAAAAGAAGAGAGAAACAATAAGATTAAATCTACTACAATTAAGTATTTAACTCCTTGGCTTGCTATTCAGAGCTTTTCATTTCTGACCTCAGTTTTTATTTCCAGGTTTATTTTTTAGCATGCATGTGTTGAGATCCTGTTATGTGCCAATCAGTGAAACTGGGATATAAAAATTAAAAGGATATTTTCACTCATTTGATGAATATTTATTGTATGTATGCTATATATTGGGCACTATTCCCTAGATTCTGGAGATGTGGTAGTGAGTAAGACAGAGGATCTTTTTTTCTTACTGTTCTTATATTCACATTAGGAGAACCACGATAAATCTAAAATCAWGTAAATAATATTTTCAGATTACTTCAATTGATGAAAATATTGCATTTATTCAAAGGTATGATGAGTCTGTGAAGATTATTCTCAGACACATATGAATTAGCTAAACCAAGAAGAAGTAAAAGAGGTAGAGAGGCTTGGTGAACAAAAGCCCTCTCTGAGATTGGGAAGTAGCTTATTACATCTGAATTGATGGAAAGATGGAATTAGAGGTGGGAGGATGAGGAAGTTACATCATGTAGGTACCTGATATGTTTTGCTAAGCAAATTAGACTTTTTTTGGGATGGGGCGTACTGTGGATTGAACTCAGGGGCACTCACCCACTGAGCCACATCCCCAACCCTATTTTGTATTTTATTTAGAGACAGAGTCTCACTGAGTTGCTTATTAGCACCTCACTGTTGCTGAGGCTGGCTTTGAACTCACGATCTTCCTACCTCAGCCTCCCATGCTGCTGGGATTGCAAGCATGTGCCACTGCACCCAGCCAAATTAGACTATTACTACCATGTTTTTCAGTATGTGTGTGTGTGCATACACATGCTTGTATTTTGTCATGGAACTCTAGTGTGTGTGGTTTAAAAAAAAAAAATGACATTATACCTGAAAGCCAAGACAGTAAAGCCTATAGTAGTGGAACTGCCCTTACTGATCTCCTGCCTTCCTCCTTCATTTATTGTTATTTAGAGAACACTCATAGCAAAGTTTGAAAACTGCTGTTTTAGTACTGTAGAAAGGTTTATGGCAGGAAAGGACAAGGATTGTCTGAGGCATGAGAGGAAGGCTAGTGTGATTAGAATAGAGTAGCTAGGGGTGAGAGAGGAATATATTCCTGGGGAAAGGTGTACAGCTAGGGGGTAGAGGCTTCCAATGTATAGGTCATGCCTGAGGATTAGATTTTATTCTAATTTCAAGGAGAGTAGGATAATCAGTTTTACATTTTACATGGAACATTCTGGCAACTTATGAATTTCAGGGGCAAAACTAGAGACAAGGAGATTAGGAGAGTTTTATAATATTCATATGAGAGATAATGAGAGCTTGAATACAGGTGATAATTGATCTATATATTGTCTACAGATTTCAGTGACCCAGGTAAAGTAATATTTGATAACATTTTGAGTGCTATACATATTGCTGTATCATATTTTATTATTTACTAATAGTGCACACCTGTCATGTCAAGATAAGGAAAGAAGAGTGGTCTTCATGTATTCCTTTGAGGCACAGGGAGCGTGAATTAACATTTTAATGAATTAAATGGCAGAGCATTATATTCATTATGCAACCATGCAATGCTATGACTATACTAATAGAATATAATAAATATCTTCATTGTTGGAGTAAACACTCATCACCACCTTCCCAATTCATAGGAAAGTAATCATCAGAAAATGTACAAAATTTAAGACAGAATATCTACCATAGCATAATTTCTTCACAAAAATAAAAAACGAAAATGAATCTATAACCATAGTAAGTTTCTGAGTAGTTCTTTTGTTAGCCAAGTAAAGAAAGCCATTTTTATCAGTGTTGAGTTATCTAATTCCTGCTTGATTGCAACAGCCAAAGAAATGTGTTCAGGGAAAATAAACGCAAGACCCTGAGCCACTTGTCGAGAATAATCTCTTGAAGAATTGAGCATATTGTGAGCAAGTCAGTGGTTGAATTTAAAACAAGGGAAATTTTGTTTTCTCCCTTATTGTATAAAGTGCCTACATAATATACTTGAGTTTTGCCTCTTAGCTTGCCAAACCAGTAGTATTTTACTGTCTGGCCTTTTATAAAAAATGTTGTCCAACTCTTGTTTTTTATAACATTAAATACAAGGATCAAACAAGAGTATTAACTCTAGTTGTATATAACATTAAATACAAGGATCAAACTGAGTATTGCTTATAAAACATAAAAACAAATGTGCTTACAAGACAGAGATGGGGAATCCAAGAAGAAAACTAATGGAAATGGTCAGACTAAGAAAGAAGATCAAGATACTGTGCCATGGAAACTGAAGACAGGACAGTAGGGTTGGGGGTGCAATTCCTTGGTAGAGCACGTATCTAGTATGTGTGAGGCGTAGAGTTCAATCCCCAGTACCACAAAGTTAAAAAAAAAAAAAGTGGAGGAAATGGTTAATAGTGTTTTAAATACAGCATTTGGCAAAATAAATAAATAAATAAATAAATAATGACAGGGCTGGAAATATTGTACTCTTCCACAGATTCTGCATTTCAATCCCAGCGGAATATCCTCTATTCTTGAGCAGTCTCTATACTTGTCTACATTTTGCCTTTAATACTGGTTCCTTTTCTCTTCCTCTACTCCTGTTGAAGTCCATCTAATGCTTCAAAATTATGCTCAAATTCTGTCTTAAAATAGCCAATTCCAGAATTTTCAGTGGGAATCCACCTTTTTATCTTATTTTAGCTTTGTATTTTAAGTATTGCTCTTTCATGACTAATATAGTATCTCTGATTTTTTGGTAGAACTTTAGAAGAAATTAAGTGGCATGAGTTCTACTATCTTTAGCTAAAATAAAATTGAAGGTTTATGTAACTCTGTAATGATCATAGGGTTTATCTGATTTCAGACCAGATCCAGGTGTTCAAACTTTATTATTGCCACCCTTCCTTTTTATATCCTTACATGCTTATAGAGTGTAATTATGTGTTTGAAATAGTAGGTTGTGACCCATTAGTGGCTCATAAAATCAACTTAGTGGGTTATAAACAGTGTTTAAAAATTAAATAAAAAAGAAAATGACAGAGTTCATGGCGATTAGTAAGAATAAATATTGTTTTGTGACACATATTTCTTTTATAATGTATTGAATCATCATATAAACCATCTAAATTATTGTGGGTTATAGTTGAAATTGTTTAAAAGTGGTAGGATAGAGCTTAACAGTGTGTCAGTTGCTCAGTTGTTGAATGATGTTTGAATTGGAACTAAATCCGTTATACTAAAATAATTATGTAAAATTTCAGGGATGAATGTGTCATGCAGATAAAATCTGCATAGATTTGTCAGCAGAATTCATAAGAGTAAATTAAACACTTCCAATAATTTTGCTTTGCAAAATCATAGCGTTTAGTATGAGAATATTAAAAAATTTTCAGATAATGCAGACTGAAATCTCCTGTAACTGTTTTTTGGTTGTAGACAGATGTAATACTATAGATTTATGCATTGCTGAAAAATTTGCACTTTGTTATAAATATGGAAATAAGTATAAAAGTTTATGGAGAAATAAAGTGCTCATGTACTAGTTTTTTTTTTACAGCCAAATTTGTAAAATATTGATGAGAAAAAAATCATAAACTATCTTTTTATCTTTTTGTATCCTGAGTTAGTGGATTTGTAGACTCTTTGCATTTGACATTAGGATTAACATTTTTTTTCCAGAGACATTTATCCAAGAGAAATAGTTTATTATGTCATTAGTTAAATTAAAATAATATTAATTATATTAAAATAAGTTATGTAATATTTGGAAGAGTACTGAAACACTAATAATCAAATCTTGTGTAATTTGTCCATTTTTCTTTTGGGGAAGCTTTGCCTTATATTAATCTTAAGAGTCAGAAGTCTTCGTCATCACATTCTGAACATTTTATAAAACATTAGAAGATAAAAATCAATTAAAAAGATGCATACATATARTTTCAGGTACCAAAAAGTAAATTTTATTAAACACAGTTATTTTCCATAGTAACTTTTAATCCTGGTAGCTGATAAGTAGCCAAATAAATAACATGATTTATAGTGCTGTTGTGGTAGATAACTTTTTTGACTTTCATTTTCTACCTGCTTAGTTACCACTTTAACCAGCTTAGGAAGA